GAAGAACCGAGCAGGTAGGAGATAAAGACGAGGAAGGGTATTGATATAAAGGAAGATGAAAATTGATGGGAGATAAAAAGGGGAATATATTCTTGATCATCTCTTTACGTTTAAAACTATGTGTGTTATTATTGTTTGGACACATCATGAACAAAGGAATTTTCTTGGGAAATTCATTTTCAAAAACGATTACTTTGGGAAAATGAATTGTACTTTCTACATATATTTAGGTTTTATATGATCAAATATTCACATAAATTAAAAAAAAAAACTATATATTATATTTTTATTTACTTATTATCCAATAATTTAAAAAAAAATAGTTGGAATCAAACCAATCTAAACCCTGTTAAGGTTGGATTGGGTGTAATGTTTAACCATGGTTAAGTTGGATTCAATTTTATTAAATTTAATGTTAATGTTTTGGGAGATTAAAACTTTATAATATAAGATGAATAATGTATGAGGCATGCAATCATGATAGATCTTGGTTATCATTACCATTTGAATCCCTATCATTTAATAAATATTATTGCTTTATTATATGCATATAATTAATTAATTTATATAAGATTTTCCATGTATGAATAGACAATCATGGGATTTGAGGAATGAAGATTCTCCTTGGGTTTACAAAAATTAAAATTAAGATTAGATTGATTGCCTTTTTTTTTTTTATTTTTTTTTTAAAAAAAAAGATGGAATCTTTGAATTAACTAAGCTAGTTTAGTCTTGTTTTATTGAGAAAATAATGGATGATTTTCATTTATTTAACGACTAATTATAAATTAAACTAAAGTCTAATATTTCTTCCGTCTATTTTTATCAATAATTTTTAATTTTATTAGATAAGCTTTCATACTCCTCGATTAGTTGCATATGTCAACTCACTCTTGGTTGTGGCAATTTTGTACTCCTCGTGAGCTGTTTTGTCGATCATATGGCTTCAAGCATCTTGAAATAGCGTAAGCCCACTAGTAGGGGATATTGTTCTCTTTAAACTTTCTAGTTTTTAAAACGTGTATGTTAGGGATAAGTTTTCGCAACCTTAGAGAGAATGTTTTGTTTCCCTCTCTAACTGACGTGATTTTCTCTTGCTCCATTGGAACCACATCCTTACTGATCCAATAGCCAAGAAATAGTACTTTCGTTTGTGCATTGTTTTACGTACAACTTCATTTCCTGTTACACTCGGAATATTGTACTCAGGTTTCTAAACCTCTTGTGAATGATTATAAAGGTTTTCTACGGCAAACGGGATAAGGTAGGAGTTTTATATTTTAAAAAAAATTGGTTTAAAAATTTGTTGATAAAAGTATATCTTTGAACCAATTATAAAAAAATTGAATGAAGAGCAAAAATGAAAATAATTAATTAAAAAAAAGGAAATTACTAATTTGGAAATTGGAAAAGAAAAACAGAAAAAAGGAAAATGGAAGGAAATAATGTAATAGGAAGTGTTGGAGATGGATAGGATGTGGTGGGGCCAAGAGGGGGGAAAAAGAGAGGAGTGGGGCCCACACAATAGCACAGTTGACTGGTCAACAAACTTCCAGTCAAAGAAAACACAAATATAGATAAGAAAAAAAAAAAAAAGAAAAAAAGAAAAAAAAAATAATGGGTAAATGTGCAATAGGAGACAATCTCTATCCCTATCTCAGTCTCAAAATACATCATTCAATCTTCTGCCAAAAGCCAAGGAAGCTACCCTTTATGTAATTTCTGTACTCTCACAATTTTAAATCTAATTTTTTTTTTAAAATAAAATAAATAATATTCTATATCACTCTCGTTGGATTGGTGACCCGAACCTCCACCCTGATAAAATTTGCAACTCAACCCAGTGCAACCATGTATTTTTTGGTTGGATTGTTGGGTTGTTTTTTTTACATATTTCATAACGCAAGGTATAAACGTCAAATATTCTTAATTTTTATAATAATTTTAAATTAAGGTTAGATTGAGTTGTCACTCAATTTTGAGTATTTGACCACAAAAAATGACGGGAATTTTTCGATTTTACAAAATTCAAAAACTAATCCAAAGTTTTACTCTAAAACTCGAAATATTATTTAAAAATTGGGTATTAATTTAAATTTTTGAGAAATTTATTAAATATAAAAATGAAATTAAAAAAGGTTTTAAAGGGCTAATAAACACCAAATTGTAATTTTGAGGACTTGAAATTAAAAAAAATGGGTAGTTGAGAAAAGGCATGTGATTATTTAAAAGTTTATTATAATAATAATAATAAATAAATAAATAAATAAATAATGGAATTTAGAATTAAAAAGGAAAAATAGGAATTTTGTGGGCGGGAAGAACGAGGGAGGGAGGAAGGAAGGAGGGAGGGGACAAAGGCTGAATGAATGGTCGGTGAGAGGTGGGGCCCACTAACTCACACGCATTACGTGGCATCACGAATATTTCATTTTACGAGGAATGGGAACACTCCATGGACCCCCTCCACACCTGATCTCACCCTCTTCTCCTCCCTCCACAAGCAACGTATCTCAAATATTATATTATATTTAATTCCCATTTATATCCGCCACGTGTTCTTTCTCTCTCTCTCTCTCTCTCTCTCTCTCTCTCTCTATGTGGACCATCAGCTCAATCCACCTCATTCTTCCATTGCGTCTGGGTCCCACGCTCCATGCAGTTTCTTGTAACGGAACGGAACACCTTGCTTTTCTGCGTAATCCGTTGTGGTACCTTTTTTTTCTTTACGCAATTTCTAACACGGCGTCGTTTTATCTCTTACGGCTAACGGTAACGGGTACGGCAATCATTGTGAAGACGTGATAAAGTGCACGTTATAATATTATAATTTAACCCTTAAAAAATTGAGTAATTTTATGTTTTTTTATCCAAATATTTTTTAAAATTATTTTTATGATAAAAATTAATCAAATTCATATAACCCACTAAGGTCTCACTCCTAGACTTTAAAACAGAATGTCATACGACTCTCGGAGCTGATTTCAATCCTCAAACTCGTGTAACTCTTTTCAATGATCCATCCTCGAGATGGAAGGAATATCAAGGTTCAAGGATTTTCGTTATGCTCTCAATGATAAGATGAGGTGTGACCTCCACCATCATCCAACTCGATCCCGTTTCACAAGAAAATCCACTACCATGGAACTAGTTGACTATTCTTAATACCTCCTATTATAGTCATATTAGCATGAGAACGACTCCTCTACCTCTCGAATATCGATATCATGTACGCCCCTGTAATTGAATTACCATAATAATAAAAAACAGACATTGAAAAATAATCCATTAATAATTAAATTTATGTTGAAATTCATTTAACAAATAATATTAAAGTAAAGAAATTAAATATGAAATTGAAAGTTTAGAAAAGGGTGAGGAACATATTTATTTCAATTAAATTTGTGTAATCAATTATGATTGGAATTTATTAACAAATTTTTTATATAATCTTGAATTGTATGAATGCGATTGATTAAATTCAAACTTTACTTTAAAAAAGCATCAGAACATTAATGTATCGTCAATTATAAAATATTTCAAAAACTATAACACATTAATTTTCTATCATAGGACTTCTTTTATTTATTTATACTTTTTATCTCGAAAGAATAAACATATGTTAGTTATTATTAAGCTCGCTTCTTAGTAACTTTTATCGAATTAAAAAATATAAAAAAATAAATTTATATTTATAAATCAATTAAATTTTTAATTTTTAAATTTTTTAGAGCCCTTTTGTGTTCGATGTTCTATTAAATATCCGACCCAATCTTTAAATTATTATTTTTTATATAAGTTTCCAATTAAAAATGTTTTTTTTAACCTAATAAATAATAAATCATCTCAATTATGAAAGAGAACATCCAACGTGGGATTATTTTTGGGCTTGGGCTGATTTTTGAAGGCCCAGTGAATTGTGGGCCATTTTTTACAATAGCCCATAATGGTTCTAAAATCTTTTATTTACGTAAAAAAATAGAATAATTTTGGTTACACTATCCCGATAAACGATTTATTTCTTTAAATTATTTTCTAAAATCTCCATTTGCCTAAGGCGCTATTAGAATCCTCCTCTTGTAGTGTAGTTTTATCTTTATGAATAGGACATCATGCATGTTGCCCACGTATTGTAGTTGTTGTTGTTGAGTTTCCTTATTCCTCATACGATTTAGAAGTCACCCATCGTGTTGACAATAACTCAGTATTACCAAACAAGTCTTTTCAATACAAGATTTGCAGAGTCACATACTACTCACGACACAAAGAAACTCAATCACTAATAATCTTAAAAAATCGTTTTTAATATGGAAGATCAAACAGAGCTGCAACCACAGACCATACTAAGAATTTCAAAAGATCAGACAATCTACACCAACCTTACTCTAATACCAAATTATGGGTAACACTCACACTCTTTATTAAAAGATTACAAGACATTCACACTCTTTATTAAGACACTTGGGATGAAAGCCTAGGTCGGCCTAGGTGGGGTGGAGGGATATATTTATACTCGAGCCTAAGCAATCTACTCGTACAAAATTAAATCTTCTTCCTAAAATATCTCAATTTTTTTTTTTTATTTTAATCAAGAGTGAAATTGTGACACTTATGAAGGAAGATACAAGAAGAATTGTTATTCTTAATAAAATGTGCCTTCCTTTTCGATAGTTTAATCAAATGCACTTCAAAGTTCATCATGCTTTTCACTTAAATAATTCTATGTTACGTGGTGTAGAAATTATTCTAGGAAGCAGATGAACGAAAACAAAATTGATGCTAAAAGAACCTATATTAGTTTGTGGGTATAACCTTCATCTTCAAAGAAATTTAAGAGAAATAGATAACGTGACCATATCACAAAAGATGTAGGGAGATGTCGAACCCATCAAGTGCTGAATCCGAATTCACCAAATCTTAGACATAGACCGTTACATTTTCCAACCTCGAGAGGTGGAAACCACCAGAAATCTCACAACGTCCTCATAAAAAGACCACCATAATTGAACAGTTTATGAGAATATGATTGAAATGATGAACTGCAAAACAATGTGATCATTTACCCTTCAAAAAATTGTGGCTGCTAAATGAACTTGTAAAATCTGGAAATAATTTCAGTTGGCAAATACATTCACTCTAACTCGTGCAGTAACTTCAGGGTGAAGCTTCAGCTCTGCAACATATTCTCCTGTTTCCCTGATCTCTGGAAGAACAACGATCCGCTTGTCGATATCCCTGCACATAATTCAATACTTAATTGAGAGGGAAAACTTCAAGATTTAGTTGAAGAGTTTGAGATACGATGTGGAAATATTCTCGAAACTTTTAGTTCGAAAACATCGAGCTTTGATTCAATGGTGTCTCAAATGTGACTACCGCGAAACGCCTCTGCTATTTCAGCAATTGTCACGGTCCAGCCATCTTAGAGTGCATTTGATAGATAGATTAATTTCCTCTTTGCTTAGTTTGTGAAATGTTCTGTTGGGGATGGCTTGGATGCTTATTTTGAAAGGATTGTTGGTGGGCAACATGCCCCCTTTGCCATATGTTTCTTAGCTTGCATCATCTTTTGGCTGTGAGGTTGCATTTCGTGGCCTCCGTCTCACCATCCTTGGGTAACTTCCCTTCCGTCATCTTGGGTTTCTGAAGTTCATGGTCAAACTGTGCGATCCCACATCGGTTGGGGAGGAGAACGATGCATTCTTTATGAGGGTGTGTAAACCTCTTCTTAGTAGGCACGTTTTAAAAATCTTGGGGGAAGCCCAAAAGGGAAAGCCCAAAAAGGACAATATCTACTAGCAATGGACTTGAATTTTACGAATGGTATTAGAGTCCACCGGACAAATGTGTCAACAAGGAGGCTGAGCCCTAAAGAGAAGTGGATTGAGGGGTTCCACATCGATTAGAGAAAGGAACGAGTGTCAGCGAGGACGCTAGGCCTCGAAAGAGGGTGGGTTGTGAGATCCCACATCGGTTTGGGAGAAGAACGAAGTATTCTTTATAAGGGTGTGGAAACCTATCTCTACCAAACGTATTTTAAAAACCTTGAAGAAAAGCTCGAAAAGAAAAGCCCAAAGAGAACAATATCGGTTAGCGGGGAGCATTTCCAATCAACAAAAGTTAATAGATAAAGTACCTCTGAAGTTGTGCCTTGATGATATCAACAAGATCCTGTGCCGTGACTCTGCAAAAACAAGTGCATTTGAGTAGGCATAATAAAAAGAAAAACGGCCTCATAATACAGCTAAAACCCGACTCACGTGCCAAATATCTGTTTTCCTTTTCCACCTTTTCGCTTCACCTTGAAAGCTCCAACAGTTTCGAAAATCAGAGCGAGTTGCTGAGCCTCCTCCATTACCTGACAAGTTCATTACCATTTGAATAAATCCCCATAGAAAAGGTAGAAACAGTCAAGAAAACAAAATATCTCTTGTTCCTTATAGCATATGGGTATAGAATGAATCCAATGGACAGTTAAATTTTCAATAAATAAGCATGAGCATCGAGCACGCACTCGTTGGGAACGTATGGATAGTAGTAAAACATGTTCATAGAAAGCACTTAATTGGTCGTTCCAAAAATTGGTATAGAGGAAGTGTCTCGTTCTTTTAATCCTCGTTGTTGATTCTAATAACAAAAACTATCTCGAAATGTCCGATCAAGAAACAAAAGGAACGGATTTGTTTACTCGTTTTTTCTCAGCTTCGATTCGTTCCTCTTCAATCCGCATTTCCCTGAGAAAAATAAAGATCAATCCCATAAAATTCAATGAATGTGCATTAAACAACATTACTAATACATAATTATTAATCCTTTTGATAGATATCACCATGCTGTTTCGTTTGAAATGACAATTTTGTGAAGTGTTATTGCTATTCTCATTAAATAAGCAGTTAAAGCAGAGTGTCAATACACGTTAGATTTCAATAACTAGTTCGACAGAGTTAAAACCAAATAATGGATACAAATTCAGCAACTAACAAATATGTTTCTTATTTACATCCTCGTTCAAATGATTAGCCGAATAAGGCACGAGTTAATGGACCTCGAATAAGACAATTGATCCTGGGTCTCCATAAGCATATCAGCTATCTGATATGTAGCAAAAATGATCTCCAAAACAATTTTCATTTCATACCATCCGTTCGAGAAGCTCAAGCAGTATAGTACGACTGTGAAAAGGACAAGGCCGTATGGTCCCTGCCTATAGCCATTGGGCAATTTTACTACTAAATCTATCTTTACCAGCCTTACAAGGAGATCTACCTTCTTGAAGGTTACCTTGGAAGATCTGATTTGGAAGTTCAAATATCCTAAAAAGGTTGAACTGTTTTTTGTGGGTCTCTATCATATAGAAGTTTACTGCAAAATCAGGTACGTAGCTTTCGGTAATTAGAGAAGGGTTTAGGGATTTAGTCTCCTAATTCATGGATACTCAAGCTAAGCTTCAAAGGAAAATCCCTAAACGTTGCCCTGCTTGACCAACTGCTTTTGTTATAGGGTGAATGATACTCAAGATCACATTTTCTGTGAGATTAAGGGTGTGGAAATCAAACTTCTCCCTAGCAAACGCGTTTTAAAAACCTTGAGAGGAAGCCCAAAGATGACAATATTTGCTAGTGGTGGGCTTGAGTTGTTACATTCTCCTTCATTATTTTTTTTCTTTGTGGAGAGTGGATGGATATTGGATGAGCTTGAAGCCCTCTCAGGTTGGAGCTTAAAGGGCAAGGCAAGGGTTTCTTAGAGTTTGTGCAGCATATAGTTTCGTAGAGTTGTACTCTTTGCAGCTTTCTCTTTCGAGCTTCTCTTAAGGTTTTTAAAATGTGTCTGCTAGGGGGAGGTTTCCACACCCTTAAAAAGAATGATTCGTTCACCGCCCCAACCGATGTGGGATCTCACATGAACAAACAAGGACCATTTGATACTTTGTCCTCGAAATACGATTTTTAGTCATAGTTATAATTTAGTTACACACTCCATCGACCACAATGAAGCTACTAGACTCACATCATTCACCAGCTACACAAATTTAGTTCAAAACATCCAATCAACAACCACTCACTAACCCCTCCTGATAACCAAACATTTAATCGACCCTATAGCAGCTGAAACATTGAAATTACAGAACAGTTCGAAAATCCCTTTTGAAACTCAGTAAATTCATTTGCACTAGTATAACTTTAAGAACAGAAATCTATAAATTAAAGGGACTATGTAACACATTACTTGAGCAAAACTGGAGTGACAATCTGTGCCTTCCCCATAGGAAACAGATAGTTTCTATAATACCCAGCCTTCACGTCAATAAGTTGCCCTTTCTTCCCCAGCTCCGGCACATCCTCCTTCAGAATAATCTGCCCCAATCCACACACAACAGAACCAAATTACGATTGCAGCCATTCACAACCAACAGATATAACGAAAGAGAAACGAAAGCAGCCATGGCATTGGGGAGGAATTTGAAAAGCTATTTCGATCATTACCTTTCGCGACTTCGTGGCTTTCTTTTGGGCGACAACCACCAGGGCGGTTCTTCCATAAGAGAAGTTGGCGGTTTCTTCGAAGTTTGCACCGAAATTTGGAAGACCCACGGAAGATCTCCATGAGAGAGAGGTTGTTAGAGAAGCCATTTCGAATTTTCAGGCAATGAAACGCCTCCCACCCACTTCGCAGTTGTTTCTTCTTTTATATCGTTGCTGCTACAATCTTATCTCTAGAGCGAACAGGTAACGATGTCCACAGACGCAGACAATGCATCATAATTTCATAGAATTTGGGATAAATTTAAATTTTCATCCCATCTTTGGAAATTTGAACCTGCGCTACTTTTCCCAATTACTCTTCCTTTTATTGAGTTATGTAACTTAAATTTACACCTTAAACTCAATTATTCAACCATTTGACTTATATCATACGCTTCAACATTCAACAACACAAAGCTACTAACATCACTCAGGTTTCTTTGGAAGTTTAAAAATTTGATAATACTAAAAATTCTATCTATTCTATCCGAATCAGAATTGGGTTTTCAAATTTAAAAAAATATGGCTAATTTCTCTAAAATTAAATTGAGTTAAACCAAATCTGAGTTTACTTCAATTTCATAATTACTCTTTTATTATTTATTTTCAAACTGTGGATAATTTTTCAAAATATATATCAGAATTTGGAATTGAGTTATAAATCTCAACTAAATGTTGGGTTCGGTTCTCATTATTTAACAAAGTTGTTTGCCTTGAAAAATTTTTAGAGTGTACATAATCCGGGTTGGATTAAAGGATTTTTTTGACCAAATTTCGGGTTAGTTGGATTGGTAACCCAACCCAAAATCCATCCCAACCCTCTATTTTCGGGTTGGATTTGGGTTGTCAATTTTTTTTGAAAGCCACCATTTATAATTATTCTGATACAATCTTTAGATAAAATATATTAAGAGTTCACAAACAAACACAAATCAATCTATAATTATTCACAAAAAAAAAAATAAATTCAATAAAAATCGAGGATCGAAAAATACTTAAATTTGCCCATAGTGTTAGTTCATTTATGTAATTCATAGTGTTAGTTCATTTATGTAATTCTTTTTACTTCAATGTCACGAAATACTTCAATTTTTCGGATTTATTAGATACAAAATTAAAAGTTAAGTTCCTACTGGACAAAAAAATTAACACTCACTATAACAAAAAGATCATAACCAAGCTAGTTACTAGTACCATTGCTAAGGCCATTTCCACTTTGTTTTCAACAATTCTCACCACTTATAGGAGTTCGGGCCGTGTCTTGGTCCCAGTGTGGCTGATTGTTCGAAAAGATCAGCTAAGCATTATTGGTTTGGTTAGCTTTTACCTGACCAATGACCTAAAACTACGCAGACTCAACGAACAATGTTTTTTAACTTGATTCAAAATTTGGCTCGAATTGTTCGGCAGATTCCCACACGTTGCACACCCGTTCGTCACTTAGTTCTCAACAATTCCCACCCCGTTTTTGATAATTCATGCATGCTTTTTATACTAACGATGATCCATTCCAAGAAAACAAACTCAGCAACTTAATGAAGTGGGTATTTTAATTGGAAAAAGGGACAAAGAGCATTCTGTAGGCTGTATAATCTAAACTAATTGGACCTGTTCATAAGTTCTTAGCAGTTCATGTGAGTCAGCAAGCAAAAGCAGAGCCAGAGATGATACTCAGAACACCTACCCATCAAACTCTATTCCTCAAAAGAGCTTTGCAAGATATATGAAGCTTTGTTACGAACCTGAAAGTGCAAAGAGGTGTTAACAATCAATCCTTCATTCATTTCAAGTCAAGATTGTGAGAGTTTTCCACACCTTTGATGCATACGACCTCAAATCTGTACTCGCGATTTGGCACGAGCATTTTCTGAGAAACAAACCCCACATTTCGCATATTAACGGCTTCCCGTCTAACATTCGACTACCGACGAGCCAGTTCTCCGTCAACACCAAGTAAATATACAGCTTAAATAGGTCACAACTTTTGTCTTTCACAGTCATGGAGCTAAGTACTCTCAAAACCTCTTCTTCATTAGTAGCCTGTTTAAATCATAACAACCAGTTTTAGCCTTCAACTTTAAAACCAAATATAGTAAGTTAAAGGTTGATTAAATGGTTGCAGATTCTCACCATTTTCTTTTTATATTCACGAGTATTCGAGCTATACTTATGCACATCTCAAACTCTTGGGAATTGATCTAATAACCTTGTTGAAGAACAAGATATTTAGATAATTCAAGAACCTCAAAAACGATATAGAATAAATCTAAGGAAAAGTTTTGGAACGGATTATTTTTGTAACAGACCAAGCACACCGCTAGCAGATATTGTCCTCTTAGGACTTTCCCTTAAGGTTTTTAAAATGCGTCTAGGTTTCCACGCCCTTATAAAGAATGTTTCGTTTCCCTCTCCAACTGATGTGGGATCTCACAATCCACCCCCTTTCGAGGCCTAGTGTCTTCGCTGACGCTCGTTCCCTTCTCCAATCGATGTTGGACCTCCCAATCCACCCCCTTCAGGACCCAGCGTCATTGCTGGCACACCGCCTCGTGTCCACCCTCCTTTGAGGCTTAGCCTCCTCGTTGGTACATCGTCCGGTGTTTAGCTCTGATATCATTTGTAATAGCCCACCGCTAGCAATTATTGTCCTCTTTGGGCTTTCCTCTTCGGACTTTCCCTCAAAGTTTTTAAAACACATCTGTTAGTGAGAGGTTTCTACACCCTTATAAAAAATGCTTTGTTCCCCTCTCCAACCGATGTGGGATCTCACAATCTTGATGATTAAGATCAAGATCAAGAGTAAAGAAAACTCGTGATTCAAATCACTTCACAAGAGGTTTGATCAACACTACTTGAATGAATGACTAGCATGCAAATCTAAATACAAGAAATGCAAAGGAACAAACTCATGGCTTAAGAAGCATAATATGCAACTTTCATTTTAATATCTAAAATCCTCATACTAAAGCCAACATGAAGGGTTATTTATAGTCTTAGAAAGAAACCTTAAGTAACCTATAGTTGATTGAAAGGTAACTCTCATGCCCGCCAAACCATAATGACTTAAAACCTTAAAAATAATACTCTAAAATTGAAAAATAGAATGAAATCTCCCTAATTCCAAAAATGTATGGTACAACTTTGTCGTCCACCATGAAGTGTTCGTGACATCATTAAAACACCTTATTTCGTATCAATGTGGTTGCTAAAAACTTAACGATATTAAATCTTAGGTAGATGGAAATCATAACTTGAACATGCTCATTTTTATGTTGGTCTTTAACGACCACTAGGCTAACCCATGAAAGATGAATGTTATGGAGAAATGGACAGAGTTATACACAAAGAAAACTCAGATTATTTAGCCAATGAAAAAAATAAATAAAGAAAGAAAAAGGATCACCTCATTTTCAAAGAAAATAAGAAGAATTTGATAGGCAACTGTACTCCTCAGATATTTACTGCGCTGATCAACTCCAGAAATGCATTCCACAGCTCGCGAACAGTTTAGATCCATTGGAATTCTGCAAAACCAGAACAGAGGCAGCAAAAAGAGTAGTTATGATATGGTTGTGGTTCACATTTGCATCAAGGGTGCAGGGCCAAAATTGAAAAACTGACTAAAACTAACCGAACCGAGTCACACGGTCTCTTTGAAGTATACGTGTCAAACGGTTCAGTTTTCGGAAGTGTAAAACCAAAAAACACTCTGTAACAGCTCAAGCCTACTGCTAGCAGATATTGTCTTCTTTGGGCTTTCCCTTTTGGGCTTCCCCTCAAGGTTTTTAAAACGCGTCTGCTACGGAGAGGTTTCCACACTCTTGTAAAGTATGCTTCATTCTCCTCCCCAACTGATGTGGGATCTCACAATCCACCCCCCTTCGGGACCCAGCATCCTTGCTGGCACACAGCCTCGTTTCCACCACTTCGAGGCTTAGCCTCTTCCCTGGCTTGGATTAGATAGATTTTGTTAGTTTTGGTCAGTTTTTGAATAATTGGTTTCGATGCCACTTTCAAATTTTTCTGAACCATACATGTCCATTTTAGCAAAAACCGAACCAAACAGATCACCATACACCTTTAATTTGTATAACGAAGGACGAGTGTAATACCTGGAGACAAGAGCTTTGGCTATATTGTCACAACATGCCTTCCAATCTTTATCTGTGAAGTAATGGACGAGCGATTGCAGGCATTCACACAAGAGCACGGTTACCCCTCGAAACTGGCGGTCTAGAAATAAACAAAGAATGGCTTCAGCTAGCCGCTCAACTTCAGAGGATGTAAATATATTCTTTTTCATCCTGAAAAAAAAAAAAAAAACAGATACATTCATGGAACAATAGCCACATTATGTTACAAGATTCAAAATTTCAATGAACGCCAAAGGCACGAGTTAAAACTCGCAAACTTTTCCAAAAGAATACTGACTTACTTGGTTTGACAACAAACAGTAATAAATTTGATCCAAGCCCTTATATTCTGCGGTGGCCCTCCACGTCCAGAGCCTAACAATAGTCCATAACTTGTGTCTAAGGAAACTATAACACAAATGGCAAAGGCTTGAGGGGTTCCTACATGACTTTTGAAGTATGCCTTTATATGACAATCCCAAAATATAGCAACTCATACACACATGGAAAAGAAGTTAAGACAAAGAGTACCAAATGTATGGAAGAACTTGTTCTAAAAAGTATAGTCCTTATGGCCCTGTTTGATAACGGTTTCATTTTAAGTTTCTCGTTTTTGAAATTTATGCTTGTTTCTTCCTAATTGCCCGATTACGGTTTTAACCATTCTTAAAGAAAACTTGTATTTCTAAAATTCTAAAAAAAAAAACCAAAGTTTTTGAAAACTACTTTAGCATGAGGTTGTTTCTTTATAATGGTGTGGAAACCTCTCCCTAACATATGCATTTTAAAACCATGAGATTGACGACGATATGTAACGGATCAAAGTAGACAATATCTGTTAGCGGTGGGCTTGGGTTGTTACAAATGGTATTAGAACAAGACACCGGGCAGTGCGCCAGTGAGGATGCTGGCTCCCAAGGAGGGTGGATTGTGAGATCCCACGTTGGTTGGAGAAGGGAATAAAGCATTCTTTATTAGAGTGTGGAAACCGCTCCCTAATAGACGCGTTTTAAAATCATGAGACTAACAGCGATCCGTAACAGGCCATGTAGAGTTTGAATTTTTT